TTCACACTACCACTTTGATCACGACCAGATACATTCTTCCCCTTTCTCACCACCAGCTGGAACCCATCTTCATCTATCAGACCTTTCCTCAGGGAGTAGAAGAGCTGGCAGCAGCTTCCCCCACTATCTCTTGATTCTCCAAAGCATTAGGACTCCCAGTACGAGAACCCACTTCCTCGGACTACACTCTCTCCTCATCCTCTACTGCCTTACCCTTATCAAAAGAATCTTCCTTAACCATAACTACCTCCTCAACCACCACCAACCGCGTATCAGCAGACTTCCCACATTCTAGGCCCTTACTAATAACATGCCCAAACTCTGCACACTGCTCACAATGAGGTGGAAGGCTGAGATACTGAACAAGTAACTGCATCCTCTCCTCCCCCTCTGGACGAATCCAGATTTTTGTTGGAAAAAGTGAGTCAGCAACCATCTCAATACACATCTTAGTCGTCCCCATCTAAGCTCCAAGCTTGGTTGTCTCGTCCATCCATAATGGTGTACCCAGCAAGATCGCAACCCTACTCAATCCTTCCGCCGTCATGTACTCCAGCGGTAACTCTCGAACTCGCACCCAAATAGGCAACCTTGAACAATCCAACTTAACTGATTGAATCCCTGGTACCCATTTGCGAAGGAACAAGGGCACATTCTCACAGTGCCAGGGGCCATTCTCGAATACCCACCTACTCGATTCTTCACTCTCAAATTGAAACAGAAACATGTTAGACCCAAACACTGAAACAAACACACGTCCATCTCGTTCCCAGTACCGTTGAGCCCATCGTCGAATCCCCACAATCGTGGGCGCTGCCGTGAGGAACTGACCTACCAACGCATTTCTCCATCTGACTATACCTTCGTCCCGAACCGCCCGAGGAATAACAAGCTCCCCATCCACCAGAGTCGGCGCAACGTAGCGGAGCCGGTTATCCTCACCCACGCCAAAGAGATGAGCCCAGTTGAGAGGATCCAGCGCAACCATGCCGCTGCCTCCACGAAAACCCGATCTAGGTTAGAAGGAGCGAGAAAGAAGAGAGAAGGATTGGATCAAAATTCTTTATTATGTCATTAACTGTGTGATTCATATTGGCAACACGAGCACAAATGGGGTGTAATTAGCTCACTCCTCTTTGAAGTCGTGGCTTAACACTTGATTGGGGCCTTTCTGTAGGTTTTTAATACAACTATGGTGTATTTCCATGGTGATGTTGGTGGTTCATTTGCAGTTGTTGTTTGTCTCCTTTAAATTTGATTATTGGATTGTTTTCATGGTTGTACAGTTTGCATTAGGCCCTTGATGGTTTGCATTTTATATGTTCTGGTATTAGATTGCTTATGTTGGTTTGTGTTTTGGTTGCTTTGTAGGCATGACACCTGCTAAGAAACGTGCAGTAAAGGGGAAACAAAAGGAAAAGGTTCCAACACCTAAGAGAGAGAAAGATGGTGTTTCTCATGTGCCTGGAAAGCCGGATAAGAGGCATCGCAGTAATACTAATCGTATTCTTGCCATCATGGATGCTGACAGTACAACTGAAGAAAAACTGCAGATGCTTGATCCTCTGGGTTTTAGGGGTGTGTCGAGGGTTAAGCTTACGAGACTCCCAAATAATTTTACTGAATGGCTTTGCAAAAGTTTTGATGTCAGTTCAAGGTCTTTCCCTCTACTTCGGTCAGGGAAGTTTAGAATTGGAGAGGCAGATATGGAGAGAGTCTATGGTTTGCCGCGTGGACCGTATGCTATTAAGCTGGATATGTTCAGTGCAGCCCAGAGGCAAAAGTGTGGAATTGAGTTAGGGCTTTCCAGTACTAGGAAAGGAAAGGCGACATTGGCGAACGTTAAACTGGTATTGGAAGAGGAGAAGGACAATAAGAAGTGGAGGGATCTTTTTGTGTTGTATGCAATGGAGGTAGTTCTGTGCCCCAGTGGAAATTTGAAGATTGACCTCTCCTATGCTGGGTTTTTGCAAGATGAAATGGTCGCTGACTTCAACCAATATAATTGGTGTAAGCATGTGGCTGACCATCTCAATGAAAGTATGGTTGAAGTGGTTCAATCAAAATCAAAGTTCCCTGGTGAGGTTCATCTTCATTTTGTAAGTAGATAAATATACCTCTTTTCGAAGTTTGGTTTACTGTTTCATTTATGGTTTGTTTATTGACGAATGTGGTGTGGTTGAAGATGTTTATGGTTTGTTTAAGAATATTTATGGTTTGCTTTTTCCCCCCTTTGTTATAATGTTTCTGGTATAGTTCATCATTTATGGTTTGTTTATTGACGAATGTAGTGTTCTTGAAGATGTTTATGGTTTGTTTAAAAATATTTATGGTTTGGTTTCCCCCCTTGTTATAATTTTCCTGATATAGTTTATCATTTATGTGGTGTGCATTATAATCTTTCTGGCACAATTTTTTTGTGGTTGCTTGACTTCTGTCTGTTTGTATATGTGGCAGATTTCGATTCTTGACTGTTTGAAGAACCCCCCCTGAGCTGCCCATACCGAGCTGTAGGCACAGGTCGTACAAAGTCGAAAGTGCTGCTTTTCAAGTACTGATGGACGAAGGTCATCTCTCTATTGGTCATCGAGATGTAAGTGGCGGAAGAACAAGCAACCTCCAGTCAACCAATGGGACGAGGACGTGTGAAGGGTACAAAGAGGAAAAGGTCGGTAGATGATCTTGATATGGAGAGGGAAGGGGATCTTCCGAAGCTTCCCTATCTTGACATCAACGTGGATGGTATTCATTCGGTTGAAGAAGTGAGTATTTTGGCTGTGTTATTCGTTTTATGGCTTTCTTTAGCATACTTTGAGTGTGCTTTAAAAGGATAGTGGTTTGCATTAGTTTGTTTACGGAATACTTTATTTTATTCATGTGAGTATTTTATTCATGTGTTTGTTCTTTGGCTTGCTTTAGTGTACTTGTGGTTTCTGTTAAAAGAGTAGTGGTTTGCATTACTTCGTTAAAGGAATACTTTATGATACTCATCGTTTGGTAGGTGTTTTTTTGTGAGAATTCAAACATATGTGGTTTGTATACGTGTGTCTTAGGTGTTCATTATAAGGAACGTGAGATTCTTTACAAGGTTTATGGTTTGCTTTTGGGCTGTTTTCGTGTTTTTGTAGGCATATCAGTTGAAGAGTGACATGGAAAGTTATAAGAGGGCTTTGTTGAGGATGGCTACTCATTACAGTTCGAGCATTGAACAAGTTGATGAGCATATAAAGATGCTGGAGGGGCAGCAACCAGAGGATAGTCTTGAAGATAATGTCGATTTCACTGATAGTGTTGAGGATGTTGCTGTTGGTAAGGGAACCAATGATGTCGGTTGCAATGCAGATGTTGCCAATGCTGATGATGAGACTGGTGCTAACAGAGTATCAGATCCAAAGTCCCCGGGTCTTGATGATTTATCAATGGAGATGGATAAGGATGGTGCTTGTACTGCTGATGGTGTCTCGCCAGATGTTGGTCACAATGATACTGCTGGCACTGCTAATGATGATACCTCTGTTAAGGGAGTATCAGATCCGAAGGGGCTTGATGATCATCTTGATAATCTGACAATGGAGATGACACAAAAAAGTGTTGATTCTGAGAATGCTAAGAAGGTGATGGAGATGGACAGCTGTGAGGAAAAGGGACAGGGTGATGATGGAGATGACAATGTTGATGGTGTTGACGCTGCTAAGTTGGATAACTTGGTTGAGAAGGTCATAAAGGTATTTTTACTGTTTTGTGTTTGAATATTTGTGGTATGGATTATACTGTTTTTGGTTTGTTTGTCATGTCTTTTGTAGTAGGTTGTTTTGCATTTGTTAGTAGTGTGGTTTACATATATCTGGTTTTGTTAAAAACTTTTGTGGTGTGGTTTCTGTAGTCTGCTATGGGGGATGTTCGTGAAGATGTGGTGGTTGATGATAAAAGGAAAGAAGCTGATGCCGGTGAGGTGCTTGAGGGTGGTGATGATAGTGCAGATTTACCATTGAGTCAGCTAGTTGAGAGTGTTAGGAAGGGAAAGGTAATTTGTTGTACAATGTTTCAGTTTTGGTTTGTTTTTGTAGTATGGTTTATCGCATTTGTGGTTTGTGTTAGTTGTTTTTTGTACTGTTTTATCTAATTTGTGGGTTGCTTTAAAAATCAGAAAAAATTGAAAGTGAAGAATGCAGGAGGCTCATCAGGTGTTGATGATGATGTGTTGAAGGGTGCTGTGTTGCGATATGCAAGGGATTCGAATAACTTGTAAGTTAATGTGTATAGATTTCATACATATGCGGTTGTTTGTATATATTTTTATATATAGTTCTTATTAGTACTTTTCTAATGCCGACTATTTTGTTTGTTATGGAATTATGAAAAATAGGAAGGAACTCCTTTTTAGTCGTGTTGATGGATACGATTGCTTGTATAGAAAGGACACAGAGACTTTGGCACATGGGCAATGTGTGAGTGTGGATGTTATTGACTGCTATTCTTCCTATCTGAATCGGGAGCAAGTGAGAAGAGGGCAACTGAAAAGATGGGTGTTCTATTCAGGGCTGGCGGTGAGTTACATTTTCTGCTAGTTCTGGTTTGTTTTAGGGTTTTTGTGGTGTGCATTATAATACGTCTGGTTTGGTTTAAGGTTTTTGTGTTGTGCATTATAATACGTCTGGTTTGTTTTAGGGTTTTTGTGGTGTGCATTATAATACGTCTGGTTTGTTTTACTGTGTTTATGTTGTGTTCTACATTGTAGCAAAAAGTGCAAACGATAGTGAAAGTGTCTGGACCACTGCCTAATTTTTTTGAAGAGACTGACGAAATCATTACAAGTTGCAAGTGGATACCAGATGGTGTGGACTTCTCACAATGTGATTATGTATATATTTTTTTTAGTCACATTTGCTACATTGTTTCATGTGTTTTTTTTTCTTCATTGTGCTTTTGAAGTACTAACTTGTTTTTGTTCCGTACTATGCACTGGATATTCCCCCACTGTTCTGATTTTGCACTACAGGATGTATGTAGTGAATTTGAAGAACAAACAGTATGATTATCTTGACAGCCTTTACCCTGACGAACTTGATTCCAAGTTTCGTGCTGTTGCGGATATGGTGGTCCGCTATGTCACAGAATACATTCCTGCCTGTAGACAAGAGCCCTTCAAATTTGAAGAATTCAAGTGGGTTAGAATGCGAGGGGTGAGACAACATGGTGGGCATGGTGGGGTTGACTGTGGTGTTTTTGCTATGAATTTTGCTGAGTTTTGGGAAGGCAAACTGGTGCCAGCTATGAGGAAGTGGCAAAAACAAATCAATCAGATGCGGGATGAGATCACATTAACATTGCTGCTGAACGAGGAGAACAATTTACTTGAACAGCTAAAGAAGAAGAGTTTGGAGTTTGATCGCAAGGTGGACTAGTTGATTTTAGCATGCATTTGCAAGAGCAGTTTCAGATTTCAGTGTGTTAGTATGTGTTTTAGTGTGTTAATGGTGTTGATTAAGGCTTTTGTGTTCAGTATCTGAAGTGTTGTGGGTTGATTAAGAAGAATTGTGTTCTTCGTGTATGGTGTGTATTATAAGACAAGTGGATTGTTTAACGGGTATTGTAGTATGGTTCATAAGGTTTATAGTTTGGTTCTTTTTCCCGGGGTTATACAATGTATGGTTTGTGTTAGTAAATATGTGGTTTGCTTAATGAGTGTTCTGGAAAGTTTCCATATGTTTGTGGTTTGGTTTTGTTAAGAGGTTTCGTGGTTTTGTCAATTCTTTGCTTTCTAGCCCTCTCCAGCGCTACCTCAAGTCCACCTCTTGGCCTCTTCTTTGATTTCCATGGGTCTTGTCGAGCCTTGAATCTCTTTACATTGGCATACTTGTCATTTGTAGCTGAAGCAGCAGCGCTTTGTGAGGGTGATGTGCTGGTGGTTCCAACTGTTGAAAAAGCAATATGCAAGATACTGGTGAACATAAGTAGGGATTAAGCAATTAGTAGATTGGATTAAGATGTTTATGGTTTGCATTAGATCATTAGTGGCTTGGATTAAGCAATTACAAGTGATTATAAGTAGGGATGCTAACAAGATGTGTGAAATTACCAGGTACTGTTTGCTGAGTTTCTTGAGTCTGAAAGCTAGTTTAGTGAGCTTTGCAGTCTTTTCCTTAACCATTGAGAAGACCTTGTCATTCATTGAGATTTTTGTTGCTAGGATAACCATGCTAGCACACAGTTCTTGATACCTCCCTGCATAAGTATCTGTTGCAGCACATTCTGTTGTGTTTATTGTGAACTTCTCTCCAGATTTGGCATCTCTTGTCCATCGTGGCAGAATGTATTCCTTAGGGATAGTCAATTGCTCAATATCATCACCATTGAATCCAACCATCTCTATCTGCCTGATTACATGTCTACACAACCAGCCTGAACTTTCAAACAAACGACATGAGCACTTGTATTTCTTCTCCTCTTTGTTCACTAACACGACTCTTTTGTCGAATCCTCCCAGTTTCTTCACTTCATAAGCTGTCATTCAATCTCTATCCATAGATTCATTCCGGAACACAAAAAAAGCAAGGCTTTCTGAATACTCCTCAAGGAAAGAACTGTATATCTTAGTTGTGTATAATTTTGCGACTTGCTGAACAAGTGGGCTTCTGTCATACCTGTTGGAAGATGACATACAACATACAATCATTCATAAGCATCTTGTTTACATTAATGATTTTATGGTATGTATTGTATTGTTTGTGGTGCGGATTGTGGGATTTATGGGTTATTTTAAGTCGTGTGTGGTGTGGATTGTGGAGTTCATGGGTTGTTGCTCGTGCGGTGTGAATTGTGGTGTTTATGGGTTGTATTATGTGGATTGTAGGGTTTTTGGGTTGGTTTTAGGTGGTATCTGGTTTGTATTTAACTGTTCTGGTAGGGTTTTATATCAATTGTGGGGTGTTTGCTGCTGTTTTTTGTTTGGACAAAGAGACTTGTGGATGCATTCTACAGCATAAAAAGTTCAAATAAAGGAAGTAATACGTACATGTTGTTTGGGACTGTGTTTGCCATTTGATAATCCATGTCCATTTTGTCTGATCTTTTCCGTTCGACCAACTTGTTGAAGTATGTGAAGAACTCAACTAGGTTGTCATCTGGTTGAAGGTAGTTTCGGAGGTTGCTGTTACAAGACTCACTCAGCTGTGAGCTTCGCATACCAGCTGTGAAGTGGTCGTTAATCCATGCTGAAGACCACTGTTTCCTCACCTTCTTAATCAAATCCAACCAGTTCCTTGGATTGGTGCCTTCTTCTGGATAATATGTGTCTAGCAACCTTGACCAATTGTACTCAAAATTCTTCCTCATTTTCTACTCCAAAAGTGACATATTTCAGATCTTCTAGAATGTTTGTGTTTGTGGTGTCGAGATGCTTCATTGCATTCTGCTTGATATGAAAAGTACACAAGCCATGGAATGCTTCAGGAATGACGGATCTAATCCCAGTGGTGATTGCAGCTGCTTGGTCGGTGAATATTGATGTTGGTCGGGTGCCTGACATACATTTCAAGAATGCATCGAACAACCACTTGAATGTAGCGGTTGTTTCATCATATAGGAGAGCAGCCCCGAAGATGCAGAGTGCGCGATGGTGATTGAAGCCAACAAACAAAGCTGTAATTTTAAAAAAAAGAACAACATAGAATTAAACATTGAAACAAACAAAGACTGTCTTTTATGATATATATATGGTGTGTTTCAGGACGTGTCTAGTATGGTTTAGGAGGTTTCTGGTTAGGATTCTCAAAATGAATGTTTCATGTTTTTTTTTTCCGTTTGTTTTAAGAGTCTTTGGGGTGGTTTTATGTTACTTATGGTATGCATTGCGTAATGTTTGGTATGCATTCAACTTCGAAATATCAAGAAAATTAACTAGTGCAAGGACTACTTCTTAGTGCAAACCACAAACCTTCTAATGCATACCACAAACCTTATAAAACAAACCACAAACCGCAAAAGCAAACCACATTGTGGAAGCATACCAGAAACCTCTTAATGCAAACCACAAACCTCACAAAGAAAACCACAAACCTCACGAAGCAAACCACAACATTTGCGAAAGCACACTAGAAACTTCCTAATGCATTGTGTAATGTTTGGTATGCATTCAACTTCGAAATCTCAAGAAAATTAACTAGTGCAAGGAATACTGACCTAGTGGACGATAATTCTGGTTTGTCCTGTATGTGGTGTCAAAGCTGATAGTATCTCCAAAGCAACTGTAGTCAAACCGCATTCTTGCATCAGCCCAGAATATACTTGCAATATCTTCGTTATTATCTACCTCAATTTCATAGAAGAATGATGGATTCTTGTAAGCTTCCTGGCAAGAATGTTCAAGAAGTATAGTTGCTTCGCCTGGTTTCATTGATTTCTGCCTTGTCCCTGTGATATAGTTCTTCAGATCATGAGGGGTGAAAGGTACATTCACCCTCCCCCCTGAAGTTGTGGTGAACAACTCATATGATTTCCGTAGTGAAACTCCACAATCTGCATGCACTTGTGCGACCATTGCATGCATTTCTGAGATCCCCTTGTTTGACCTCAACAGATGTTTGAATTTTGGAGGGAGGAGATCATGGTTGTGTTCTGTTATCCACTTGTCCAGCAGCCATTCATCCTTCTCGATATCATATCTAAATTTGATTATAGCTGGGCAGCCAACTCTAGTTTCTGGTACATCACGTTGATAAGCCTTGACATCGATTGATCCTTTATTCTTGGGATTTGACTTGCTTGTGGTCTTGTATCCTTCTTTGCTGCAGCAATACCTAGCATATCGTGCTGTTTTGGTTGGCTGTCTTTTTGTAGAACGTTTGACAGCTCCCATGTCCCTCACGCTGAAGCTAAGATCATGAGCATAGTTCTTGTAGAATTGTTTTGTTTCCTCAATGGTTTTGAATGCCAACCCCAAACTAGTGTAGTATGACTCGGACCTGTTTGATGTCACACCTGTAAGCAATGATGAAAGAAATGAGCACTTGATCATTTCATCTTGCGATAATATTTACTAGAAAAGTGAAAAGTGGTTTGCATTGTAGTTATTCATGATGCTTTTATGACATTTATGGTTTGCATTACAGTGTATGATTTTTTTTACAAACAGATTGCGGAATGTAACGATTTACGTTTTAATGGTGTGTATTGAAGGTGTTTTGGTGCGTTTAAGAAGTTTTGTGGTTTGGTTTTTAAGTGTTTTGGTTGATTGTCTCTTTTTTTTCCTGTGGTTTGTTTTGGGAAGAATGTGGTGTGTTTGGCGATGCTTTTGGTATCGTTTGTGGGATTTTTGTGGGCGGTTTGATCATTTCATCTAGCGATTATATTTGCTAGAAAAGTGAAAAGTGGTTTGCATTGTAGTTATTCATGATGCTTTTATGACATTTATGGTTTGCATTACAGTGTGATTTTTTTTACAAACAGATTGCGGAATGTAACGATTTAGGTTTTAATGGTGTGCACTGGAGGTTTTGGTGCGTTTAAGAAGTTTTGTGGTTTGTTTTTTAAGTGTTTTGGTTGATTGTCTCTTTTTTTCCTGTGGTTTGTTTTGGGAAGAATGTGGTGTGTTTGACGATGCTTTTGGTATCATTTGTGGGATTTTTGTGGGCGGTTTGATTGGTTGTGCTTATGATTGAGTTGAGCGTACCTTCTTCTTGTTCATTGTTGCCACTGTTGGTGGAAATAGAGGTTTCCAGCTAATATCCGCCTTTTGTTGCATTCTCAGAAGATGTTGAAATTTGCAGGAGTTGTTGAGCATCTACAGAACCAACAGAAATTTCATCTACACGATTCTCGTTCATCGTCAATGTCTTGGCTGCGATCAGGAGCTTGCTCCGCCGTCGTCGCCGTTGCGATAGCTGCTGCGATAAGATCTCGTCGTTGCCGTTGCGATAGTTGCTGCTATCCGATCTCGTCGCCGCCATCGCGATAGCTGCTGCGATCAGACCTCGTCGCCGCTGTTGCGATAGCTGGGTAGCTGCTGCGATCAGGATCTCATTGCCGCCGTTGCGGTAGCTGCTGCGATCAGGATCTCGTCGCCGCCGTTGCAGTAGCTGCTGCGATCACGATCTCGTCGCCGTTGCGGTAGCTGCTGCTATCAAGATCTCGTCTCCGCCGTTGCAGTAGCTGCTGCGATCAGGATTTCGTCGCTGTCGTTCAGCCTTGGCGCCGCGCGATTGGAGAGAGAATAAAGTGGGGAGAGAGAAATGAGCTGCAATTTTTCGGACAAAAGGAGCTGCAATGTTTCGGTAGGACAAAAATACCCTTCCTTTGTTTTTTACCCTAGTCAACGCATGAATTTCAAAAGTATGCAGAATGGTGGGTTCCTATCGGTCCATCTATGTTGTTGTTACAATAACAACAAATATGGTGTTGTCACCATATCCGGTCCCCAGATTCCACTCCCCCTATGAGTTCAACACATACAGGTTAGTCATAAATATGATTTTGATTGTACTATTATTTTTGTGTGTGTTGATATCTTAGTTTTTTTTTATAAGAGTTTCCATAGGGTTTCACTTGCTTGATTTCATTATGTCATGCACAAAAGAGTCAATTGTGAGAATTCTATAGTGAGAGGAATATGTGTACATACCTCCTGTACATCCCATCTAACATACACCATCTTGTTAGAGCTTGGTTTAACCCCGATGGGGATGGTCATTGTGGGTTTCGAGCAATCTCACACATTATTCATGGGGACGAGGGTTACTACTTAGAGATGAGGCAAGCTATTATTGGAGAGATTACTAGCCGATGGGATTCTATATACAGTATACATTACGATGGGACAGTAGAGGAAGTAATTAATAAGTTGGATCAAAGGAATTCGGGATGTGTGGCAACGAGTACTGGTTTGAGGAGTTGGATCTACTAGCATTCACGATAATGCACAATTGTGCCTTTTCAGTCTTCGGGAGGGCAATTGATGGGACATATGGGTATAGTGCAGTACCCGTGACAGCGCCACCAGGGATAACGTCTCCAGTTCATGTTTATGCCCTCGTTCATACTGGAGTACATTGGGTCCGACTTCAGCTTGTAGACGTCGGAGGTGTTACACTGATGCCTCCATTTAGTTTTCAGTGGTCTCATCTTTGCGATATGGCAACTGTTGGTTCTTGGTCATTGTTGTACCAAGAGGAAAGAAGGTTGTTTTCAGTCTTGGTGGACATCAGCAAAGTAGACAAGACAAGGGTGAGCCGGAGCATGTAGTACTTGAGTAGTTACATTATTTTAGCTTTTCGGTACTTATCTATGTAGTAGAGATTGTTTAGCTACATTGGTCATCTTTTCGGTTCTTTACCTACATTATTTCATCTTCTCGGTACTTATCTATGTAGAAGATATTGTTTATGACATATTAGCAGATTGAATTACTCGGTTTAATCGCGATATCAAATAATACGACCTTATCGATATGAAGAATTCTTGATCACCGTAATTTGGTGAAAATGATCGGGTGCTTAAAAAATTAATCAAATGATCCATTATACTATTGCAACAGATTCCACAATTACAATGAACATAAGAAAACACATCACAGTCATTCATGAAAAAGATATCACGGCTACTCTGCTTCCTTCTCCTACAACGTCGTTGTTGTCTTCCTAAGGTGGTCAGATTCTCTTTTATTTTTCTTAAGAAGAAGCATTTGTTTTTGGGAGAGAGACTCAGACAACCACCACTTTGTGCCCCCTGTTTCTTCCAATCTTGCCGCTGGGAAAGCAAACGGGCCAGAGCAACAATTTCCTCCCCTCTTCAATTTCCTGCCGATAGAGGGGAATGCCCAGCTAAATCAATTTCCTCCCCTCTTCAATTTACTGCCGAGGGAGGGGAATGCCCAACGCTTCAATTTGGGACAGGGAATGGGATTAATCAAATATGGGTTTGTGGTTTCTCAATCCAACAAGCGACGACTTGTTTATGCCAAAAACTTGACTCGCTTGTACAGTCACACTAGAAAGTGGCCAAGTGTAACCACCTACTAACACTACAACAAATTTGGTCTATTATGACAAGGCAATTTTGTCATATTAGATACCCAATTGGTCATATTAGGTATAATATGAAAAAGGGTGTTGTCACAAAGATTTGTCATTTTATCGCCGTCAGGATAGGTCAAATGTGACAAAGGTTTAAAACAAGGTTGTCACATTTGCTTTCAGTATAACTGGGGTTCTGGGTAATCTATTGTGACAAACAGAGATGTTATGACGATATATTTTGTCATTACTTTTTTCATAATTTGCTTATTTTGACAGAATTATCCGTCATATTACACCAATATATTTTGATATCACATATGTGAGGAACAATATTTGTCATAAATGCATGTGTGACGAATATATTTTATCATAATTGTGTATTAGGACGAACATATTTTGTCATAATTGCATATTGTGACCAATATGATTTATTCATCAATATATTGAATAACATATTGTTGAAAAAATCAATATTCTTGTAACATATAGAAAAAATTCCCAAACCCAGAAAATACAATGCCATCTAAAAAAACCCCAAACCTAGGAAATAATTTCTGCCCCTGCCGTTGCTGACAATACACTCTTCTTCCTCACTTTCGCCGCGCCGACAACGCATCCTTCTCCTGTCCGTTGTTGGAGCCGCCGCCTACAATGAACAAGAAACAACAACTTAACAAGAAAAGAAACCCCTAACCCAAACCCTAGAAAATGCAAAATTCATCTTCTTCCTCACTTCCACGACTGCCGAGAACCCATCCCCTCGCCCATCTCCAGAAGCCAAAAACTCTATCTTCTTCCAATCCCAAAACCCCATCTCTAGACCCCATCTCCTCACTGAAAACCAAACACCCAAATAAGAAAACATAACAAAACAAAATCAAAATCAGATCTCCCAAAATCAAACTACATATTGAAAAAAAAAATGCATCCCACAAAATATACCTTCCTTTCTCTTTGATTTCCACAGCGAAAGAGAAGAAAGTGAGAAGAGGGAATCAATATTAGACAAATCCAACCACCCCCAATATGGATTTGCCTATCGTCTCTACTGCGCCAACCACCCCCGATCAGGATCTATCCTCTGCATCTCGATCTATTCGAGCCTTTGAAGTTGCGAGGGAGCATGCTTCTGGGTTTACAGGTAGAGGAAGATGGGGTTAAGGTGGTGGTTGTGGTCGACATGTGGAGAGAAAAAGGCGACAAGCGATGGTTGGCGGCCGGAAGGAAGATTTAGTGGTTGGGAGATGGAGGAGACCAAAAGTGTCTCTCGGTGTAGTGGAAGGAAGGTCGGGTGACGAATCTGGGAGCTCAGAAGGGCGACCGGAGACGACGAGGTCCTTTAGTGTGTGAAGGACGAACGACTGTGAAGGAAGAGAACGACGGTGGTGGTTCTAAAAGGGTGAGGCAGAGGGTGATAGTGTGAGACGAGAGGAGAGAATCACGGCTGCTAGGGTTTATTTGATTTTATTATTATTTTGTTTCATCAACCCACACACAAGATATAAATAAATGAAATAAATGAGCAAGGCAAGTAGGGAAATTTCTGCGGGACTTGGGAGGGAACTTTGGGCAGGCGTAATAAAATTTGACAGTCAAAAAGTAAAAAACTAAATTTTTATTTTGAGGAATAATATGGCAGAAGCTACTCTGACGATATAATTTGTCACTTTTGTGTCTCTTACATCCCGATATGGGATGCATATTTTGACAAACTTAATCGTAACACGAAATATTTGTCACATTATTCACTTCAAACGACAAACTATTCGGACAACAAATTTTTTATCATAGTTGAATCTCTTACGTCCTGATATGAGACGCTTCTTTTGACAAAATTATTTGTGACACGAAATATTTGTCACATTACTCACTTTAACTGACAAATTATTCTGACAACAATATTTTTGTCACAACAGGCATACCAAATAGGACATATATTATTTTTTTCATATCACCATGCCTATTGTGACAAACAAAAAATGACAAAATAAAACTTTTGTCCTAATAAGCCGAATTTGTTGTAGTGTAATGCGCAGTATAGCGGGCTTAGGTTCAAATGTCAACCATGGTCCTAGGTGTGATGACTACTCCGTGGGATTCTTATTATTTAGCGGTTCAACTGTAGTGAAGTTCCAACTAAACTAGCAAACAAATGCAGTAAATGTTGTGTTCCAAGTTTGAGAGAGGTCACCTAGATATGGTTCCCCCTGGACTGCAGTTAAGCCAAGTTGTAATTCACCCAGTTCAGTTTGAATGATAATTATACTGCGGAAGGTCCTTAGACAGTCTGAAGTCTCGACTAGACGTCTCCAGACCCTCTCAATCTGAATCCCCAGCGGGCGACTATCCTCCACCGGAGTAAATAGACTGAGGCCCTAACGTGCCAAACCTCCTCTACTGGAGTAAATCTAGTACATAATAGTGAACCGACTCCTCGACTAAAGTCGTCAATTCACTACCTTCAATTAAGGGTGCTCTATCAACCTAGTCAGATATTCTCTTTCTAGGTCAAAGCAGAAACTACAGGAATTTGATCAGGATTCATGCAATTCAGAAAATCATGCCTCAATTGAATATAATCAATATAAAAGAACTTGTACTTAGGTTCATACAACCAGACCTAACATACAAATCTAGGGTTCTTCATACCCAGGTGAGTGAGAGAGTTTACTCCATAGAGAGAGAAGAGAAATCTGCTTCAGATGCAGAAATCATTCTTTGAAGGATGACAATCAGCTTCTAGTAATCAATCAGCACTTCTCCAAGCTTCTGCCGAGCTCCAATGGTGTTGAAGATCGATTTAGGGCACTTGAAAGTTCTGTTCGTCGCACTCTCTCTAGGTTTTCTGCTCGCTATCTCTATAATCGGATTCTCTTTCTCTTTGGCTTGAAATCTCCTTTTAACCCAAGACTGGGCAAAACACGGTCGAGGAAACG